ACCATATATATCTTATCGTTATCCAGACTACTATGATAGTGTTACAACTTACAATATACCATTCATGTGGTTAGGGGTGGGCAACGGGTAACAGGTATTTGGGTATACCCGTATCTGTCCCGTTTTTTGAGGGTTACGGATACCCATAATACTCGTAATATTATTAACGGATGAGACTTGAGATTGTACATTACTATAATGGGTACCTGCGGGTTACCCGCAAATACCCGTTTGGGTAATATGGGTACCCGTTAAATCCGTTCATTATACAAAGGCTCAAAGCTTGAAACAGAAACTGAAAGAACAAAGCGCACCGCGCAACCAGTGCCCAGGAACTCGCCTCGACTCCTCTGATATCTCCTCAGGCTGTATTCTCTTCGATCGTCGCGATAAACATAATCTCCGTAGCCCAGCAGTCCTTCCACTCTGTCGTGACAATAAGAATTCTCATTTTTGCAGGTTGCAGGCTTGCTGCTGCCAGCGGGGTCATCAGAATTTGAATTCGAAATTGGAGCAGTACACCCAGCAGCTTGCTACTTGGACCATACAGCAGCGTGCCATTCCCCAAATTAGTTTTACAGCAACTATAATTTTATAGTTCCAACTTGCAACTAACAACAGCGGCTTCTTACTTTCTTAGTTGTTAATGTTATGGGTGCTTTGAATGATTTATGCTATGCCTTGTGGTTGTTCATGAATTTGTAGGTTGTAAACCGAGTATTTGTCGTATTGTGTGATTGGGATGAATTTTGTAACACGAATGGATATTGTGATTGTTAAGTAGGGGCACAAGTTAAGTTAACTTTTATTAAAATTGTAGTGATTCAAACTTCGGGTATTTATGGGTAGTATGGGTACTCGTTATCCGTCCCGTACGGGTAATGGGTACCCGTTTACTTATATGGGTTGGGGCATGGGATGGACTTTGTTCTCCAAATGGGATTGGGTACCCATTTCAAACGGAAAGTGTATCCCGTCCCGTTGCCCACCCCTACATGTGGTTGTTCGTAGTAGTGGAAATCGGTATGGTATCGGTATCCCAATACCAAATATCAAAATCCCGAATACTGAATTACACCCTAAAATCAATAGCAATCCCAATCCCTAAATAATTTCGGTATCTCAATTCCAATCCCTAAATAATTTCGGTATCCCAATCGCTACCTCGGTATCCCAATCGATATTATCGAATACATAATCAATTACCTTTGCAATTAATAAGTAAATATATAAATAAGATTTTATTGTTTAATTTAGGGCAAAGAGACTAAGCAAATAGTCTTGAGTTGCCTAGAGCTAACATCTCAAGTTCTTGTAATTGGTAATCTTGAATTTGACGAATTTGAGGTTGAGAGGCGACAAATACTAGTGTTAAAAAGTGATGTAATGATCTATGTATAATTAAATGACATTTTGGTGGTTGAGGGTCTCTTAGTATTGAACGAGAAAGTCTAGTTGAGAGGATAAAATACACACTAGCTTATATTTTGGTATTGATCGGTATTTCGGTATATACCGATCCCAATCCCGTAATCTCTAATACTGAATAACAATTGAAATTCAATCCCAATCCCAAAAAATAATACGTGCATTCGGTAATACCAAATATAGACAAATTTGGTACGGTATTCGTTATATCCCAAATACCGATACCAAACTTCCAGCTCTAGTTGTTTGGATGTATAAGGAACCAGCTTAACGAAAATTGATGTGAGTCATCCGAATTCGAATAGAAGACCTCTCGATTACAAAAGGTTCTGATATCATGTCAAGTACCAGTTGATCTTAATAACTCGAATTGTTAGGAGAGATTCTATAATATTGGATCATATACCCATTCACTAACAAAATGGTTGATTTTTTAAATGAGATTGATTCAATTGTCTCGTCTCACAAAAATGCATTATTTTCAAAATACTTGCTCGTTCCTTTGTCAAGTCAAATTGATGCAAAACAAGGCAACTCAAATTATCTCGGTCCAATTTTTGCAATTTAGTTTTGTGCTGTCAAATGAGACAATTCAACTCAATTGCTTAAATTTGAAGCAATAGAACGAAACTGTTTCATAGAAATGTTGCATACAAACGACTCATTCATCTCAATGTTACAATATCATAAAATATTTCCACTTCATTATATGATCGAGAAGTTGATATCGAACGCTTGAGACATGATTATGTTATGTGATTAACTAGTCAATTTTGCATAGAGAAAAAAGGGTTTAAATTCACTACATACACACATGATTAGAAAAAATAATCCTCTTGATGACTAGTAAGTGAGAGGAATTTATATATTCGCATATCTAATCATAATTGTCTTTTAACATTTTTTTCAAAAAATTAAATTAGCTACAAAGTCGATCGGGATTCAGGAGATCACTGTTGGCAGTTTGCAATAGAATATACCCATATATACAGCTTATATAGTTTCATTAATTCAATCAATTAAGATTTATTTTTGATTATTTGTGTCTGAGATAATTAAATTAAGGAAATAAAATAAATGTTGACTCGAAGAAGACATGAATGTGACGGCACATGTTAAAAGGGGTAATGGGCCGGTCGTTTGATCAAAGTATTATTAAATCATTAATTTGGACTAAAACTGCCCAATAAGAAGAGGCCGAATCAACTAAAGCAGCTCCATTTAATCCCAATCAAGAATCTAATATTATGATGACGTGTACTTTTTATCGTCATAAATTAAAAACTTGATCAAGACTTCGTAATGAAGTCTAATAGGTATAATTTTAAATTAAAAACTTGATCCCGAGTAGTATCCTCTAATAATTTAGTTAGGGAGAGTTTCACCAATTCTTTTTAGTAAAATGGGTAGGGTATGATTGAGAAGTACATCTGGGTTTCGGTTTCGTGAATGAATTTGAATATTGCTTCCATATTCTAAATGAACATAGGTTTGGTATGGATGTCCATTTACTTGAGGTATCTAAATATAATGCATCAAATTTTTAGGTACTCAAATGTAATTTTTACTGATGTTTTTCGGTCTTATATGCATCAAAAATTAAATTTAGATACTAAATCTTAAAATTTATTAAGTTTAGGTATCAAACAGTAATTTGCATGAGTATATGGATACAAATCAAAATCTATGAATTAAAAACACAACCCAAATAAATGTGTATGCTTATAAAACCATCAAACTCTGCCCATTTAACTTGCATTGAATTTCATACCCAACCCAATTGAGTTGGGATAAGTAAATATCCATGAGTTTGGACAAAATTATCGTCCCTACTATAAGAGCATTTCCATTTAATGATGTTTCCCCCCAAGAAATATAGAAAGAACTTAATACAATCTATCCAGAAACCCTTCAAAAGCAACATCTCGGTGAAGCCACCATACAAAGTCACAAGATACCGACTCTAAAAGTAAAAAATTAGGTTTTGAACTCTCGTTGCTTGCTCCAAGTTTGAAGTATATGAGTTACTTTCAATTAAGAGAATATATATAGTTGGTCTGATCATACCGATACTAATACATATGTATCAAAAGTATGTAAAATACTTATTTAACCACACACAAACCACTGAATTATGGAGATGAGCTCATTCTTCACACTCTATGACCTCTATTTACTCTATTGTCAGATAGAGTTGTCAAAGTAGAACCTGATTAGAATAATTTTTTTTGTTGATTGATTTACCAGCAACCCGACATAATTGTAATTTTATTAACAAAAAAATTCAATTAACTCATTTTTTGGTTGACTTGGTAACCCAATTGATCTGTAATCAAGTTCACCCACAATTCAAATAATCTATAATCCTAACAGACTCACAACTCGTAATTCAAATGATCCACAATCCAATAACCCGTAAAATATTCCGTAACCGGAATAACTCGAAACTCAATTGAACCCCATCCAAATGCCGATTGAGAACCTTTACTATATGTCAGTAGAGTTCACAAAAAGAGGCGAGGAATTGAAGTGGAAACAAACAAATTAATTTCATGAACAGATCAGGCTTAATTACTTACTGTTCCCACCTCCTCCACCTTCTGCTATATATGCTGCATGCATAGTCGTAGAGTAGCTGTTGTAGCACATCGGTAGTGGATATCCTTTACATTTGCTATGCCTCCTCTTGATAAGATCAGAAACCAGAGAATAGTTTATCAAAATATATATAGGGATGTAAAATTGTAGTTTTTTCAGGCACTTTTACTATTAACGAGCAAGCAACTGATTATAGACTACATTCTAAAATATTATGTTCTTCAATGGGGGCTCTATTAGAGGTAGTTCACTTATTCTTCACGTTTTATAGTATCGTGTTATTTTGCAACACGAGAAGTTAATAAAGTTGTCCATTTAGTGACAAAATAAACTCGTTCATTGATAGTTCAATTGTACAAGATCATTGCTTATGCGTGTTACCTATCTTGTAACTCGGTTCCTTCTTTTGTTGTCTTGATAGCTTATTTTTTTAAGGAAAAAAACATGACTCATTTCTCCACCGGAAAGCTTGAAAGGAAAACTTTTAAGGGTAAAAGTAAGTTTTTTTTAATAGGTATCTCCATAGGGAATATTATAGATACGAGAATATACAAAACTTTTGCAGGTCAGGTCACAAAAAATAATTAAGGAAAAACGTTGGTCAACAAGTGTACAACCAATGATACAAGACATTTTTTTTCTTCTTCTACAGAATGAACAACCCTATTGTATCTTCGAGTCACAAAGCAAAATGTTGCACGTTGAAATGATGATAGTAGCACCTAGATATCCTGCATGATAGCTCTTAAGGGAAAAATGTAAGCTTAGCTTTCATAATCTTGCTCAAGCACACTTATTATTAGCGATTGATATAAGGAAGAGAAAGAGAAGATAGACAAAATCCAGAGTATGAAAAAAGGACATGTATTTTTACCTTACTTGAAAACTCAAACCCCACCAAATTCCCTCCCCCCTCACCCTTCTACTGTCTTTTGTTCTATAAAACCCAAATCCACAACCATCACTCTCCATAGGATTCCCATTCGAAAATCCACACAACAAACTTAGAAACCCAACTTGCAAATTGGAGCTTCAAACTATTCCCAAAGCAGACTCACAATTTTCGAGTACTATTCAACACAAAAAAAACCACCGTTGCCCAATGGCTAGTGCATGGCTTTGGTCATCAACTACATTTCTGATGATCTTCATCTCCATATTCTTTCCCATCCCTCTTCCCATCTCTCTTCCTCCTCCAATTACAGTTACTGCTGCATGGGCATGGCCACAAATTGCAATTTCCATGGCTTGCCTTCTTGTGCCTCTCACCATAATCACCTTGATTCACTTCTTGCCTCTACTGATCCTCCACCATGATCATCGCCACAACAACAACAAAAACCTCCCCAAGGGCTCCTTTGGCTGGCCTTTGCTTGGTGAAACCCTTGGCTTCCTTAACCCTCATCCATCCACTTCACCTGGAGCTTTCCTTCAAGACCATTGCTCTAGGTAAGGCTGCAAGGTTAGTTCGGGAATTTGTTTTTTCTTACAGCAGAGAAGATACTAGTTTTTGAATGAATGGTTTGCGGAAGAAATTACCCTTTCTTGTTTTGTGTTTCTTGTTCTCTTTCTTGTATAGGTATGGGAAGGTTTTCAGGTCACATTTGTTCTTGTCCCCAACTGTGGTGTCATGTGATCAGGAGCTGAACTACTTCATACTCCAGAATGAAGGGAAGCTATTCGAATGCAGCTACCCAAAACCCATCCATGGGATTCTTGGAAATGTGTCGATGCTTGTGGCCGTTGGTGACACTCACAGGAGGCTTAGGAACGTTGCTCTGTCTCTTGTCAATGTCACAAAATCGAACCCTGAGTTCTTGCATGACGTGGAGATGACTGCAACTATGATCCTGAAATCCTGGAGTGGGAAGGAGCAAGTTCTGTTCTGCGAGGAAGCCAGAAAGGTACAATAATGTTGAAATTATGGGGGATTAGCTGTGTCGATTCAGTTTTTCTCATCTGGGTTGCTCTGTTTTTCTATTTTCTGTTATTTGACAATTCCACTTTCATTGTGATTGTAAACTAAACTTGGAAATGTTGTGTATATTGTTCATAACCTCCTTGTGAAATGCTTAAGGTGAAAAGTTTCAGTCTTCTGATCAGGGTGTTCTGTTTTTGGCTGTGTTGATAACATGTTCGATGAAATGCCTAAGAAAGCTTTAGTTTTGTGATCCGGGTTGCTTTGTTTTTTACTGTCCTGTGTTGTTCATAACCTGCTCGATGAAATTCCTAGGAAAGCTTCTTCAGTCTTTTCAGCAGGGTGTTCTATTTTCTTGCTCTGCTCGTAACCTGCTCGTTGAAATGCCTAAGAGAGGTTCAGTTTCCTCAACAGGGTGCTCTGTTTTTGTTTTGGACAGTATAGTTTCAACGTGATTGTGAAGCAAGTTCTTGGGTTGACGCCAAAGGATCCTGAAACCACAAGGATTCTTGAGGATTTCTTAACCTTCATGAAGGGTCTCATCTCTCTTCCTCTCTATGTTCCTGGAACTCCATATGCTAGAGCTGTTCAGGTATCCTTCTTCTCAATCTCTCAATAAACAACTCTTCTGTCCTTCATAACTTTTCAAGATATTCCCTTTTTTCTCTGACCATGTAATGTAACCTTAAGATCCTGAAGATAAGGCTTTTTTCCAGCCAACTTTAGTTCTGTCTACTCATTACTACATTACAGCAAGAAAGTATAATGGGTAGCTAAGTCACTTTTTGTCTTTACAGGCTAGAAGCAGGATAGCTTCCTCTGTTAAAGCAATTATAGAGGAAAGGAAAAGAAGGAGAAGGATGGAAGGACAAGGCTATTTTGGGAAAGGGAAAGTTGATTTCCTTGAGATATTACTGGGCGTGGAAACCTTATCTGAGGATGAAAAAGTGAGTTTTGTTCTGGACTCTCTGTTGGGTGGATATGAAACAACTTCTCTGTTACTGGCCATGGTGGTGCATTTTCTAGGTCAATCCCCTCTTGCCCTTTCTCACCTCAAGGTAACAAACAAACAAAAAAGTTTCAATCTTTTCAACCTTTTGCTAGCTAGCTAGCTTTAACTTATGTATGTGGTTTGGGGAAAATTGGTGATGGGTTTCTTGTTTGGCAGTTGGAGCATGACAATATAAGAAGTTGGAAGAAAGAGGGAGAGTGTTTGAGTTGGGAAGATTACAAGAAGATGGAATTCACCCATCATGTAAGTTAGTTCTTTTTTTCTTTTGTCAATTACACATACGGTCACATATCAATTGTTGTTCAATTCAAATCGATTACTCCGTTAAATTCCAATCTATACGATACAAAACCACCCTAAATCACCATAATGGTTTGTTTGATTCCTGTTTCTTTTTTATGTTTCAATTGTAAAGGTCATCAATGAAGCAATGAGGTGTGGGAACATAGTAAAGTTTGTGCACAGAAAGGCCCTGAAAGATGTCAAATTTAGAGGTCAGCAGTTTGATCCTTTTCACAGTACTTGTTTATTATCTAAAGTCTTACATCCCTTTTGCTGATGCCATGCATGCATGACAGTACCTTTTGGTCCCTGTCAGGATGCCCCATTTTACATAATTTATTACCTGGATCTGTACTCTCCAATTAAAGAACTCTGCAGAGAGAGTAATTAACCCTTTGCCTTTCCTTATTTCTTATTTGTTTTTCTTAGATTACTTGATTCCATCTGGCTGGAAGGTTCTGCCTGTCTTTACTGCTGTTCATTTGGACCCTTCTTTGCATCCAAATGCTCTCAAGTTTGATCCTTGGAGATGGGAGGTAAGTCTGGATCCTTTTCTTTATGAAACTGTCATTGCTACCATAAACATACAGCGCTTCAACCCGACGGCTCTTGTCGAATTGGGCTCAGTTATACGATGTGGAATGTGGGTAGTGATGAATTGTATAATACCTGCAATGTACCTATGCAGAGTGAAGATCAAACAAGCAAGAAATTCACACCATTTGGAGGAGGGTTAAGGTGTTGCCCTGGGTCTGAACTGGCCAAAGTTGAAGTTGCATTCTTCCTCCACCATCTAGTACTGCAGAACTTCAGGTGCACATAATGTGTATTATATGCCTTTCTTGATTCCATTTTCCTCCTCCCCAATCTCTGCAAATTTGATCCTCTTTAAACCATACAATGTGCAGATGGAGAACTGAAGATTCAGATGGGCCCTTGGCATTTCCTTATGTAGAATTTGAAAAGGGTTTGCTGCTAAATTTGGACCATTCATGATGATCACTCACAGCTCTTTGAAGAATTTTTTTTTTCTGTAGTTGCTTTAACTTTTTTGAGGAGGTTTAATTAGGATCATTATCTGTCAATCTTTACTTTCTGTTGCTCCATATGTATGTAACTATGTATACATATCTTCCATTCCCCCTGCCCTTGCTTCATCTCGATGGAAATGGGCTTTTGCCACAAATGTTTTATTTTGTGTTGACGCTCAATTTGGTAAATAGTAAGAGGAATAAACATTGCGTAGGTTGTGACTTGTGAATGAAGGGTTGGCACTGTAATATCATCAAAATGACCTTCAAAGTTGGCATGGCTGCAAACATGAGTGTGTTGCTGTGATCGTCGTCTCGTTTTGAAATCGTGTGCTTGTAGAGTTCGATTCTCGGCAGTGAAAACTGAACTCACTTCAAGGCAGCCATTTGCTTAGTGCTTGGTGGATCATCTGCAACATTAATCTTCTTCATGCCCAGTGGAAGTATTTTATCTAGTGAACAAACCAGAGGACTTGGAAAACCATGATGAAACTATGAAAACGAGCTTCCATTTGACGGTGTCTCGAGCAATCAAGACAAAAAATAATTTTGTTTGGTCCCTTGGATGAACATGCTGCTGCCATGAAAGGTGCAGGTTTTGTGCCTATTTGTGTTTCTGAAGGTGTGAATGTGATTGTATGCAATAATAGATAGGCATCTTCTTTGCTTGGTTGTGCAACTAAACAGGCCTAAGCCTCTCAACTTTAGATTGAATAAAGAGCCCATCGGGCCCCATTTTGTCTTTCCACACCGACGGGCTAGGGCTAACAAAAGCCTGCCTGCGTTGAGGAGGCCCATCTCACGCTTGTCATACATACCAGCGCTCGAAAGGTCCATTAATTCCTTCCTCTCAGCCATTTGGTTCCCACCAAATCGAATGGTTGAGTGAGATTCAAAATGATATTTTATACTATTTTTCTTACATAAATGACCCACAAAAATTCAAGCTATGTCTAGCAAACTTACATAATTAATATATTTTCAGAATATTTATCACTTACGAACTATTAAGATCACAATTCACAAATATAAAAGAGAGAGAGAGAGAGGTGTATGAAAAGGTCCAACTCTCCTTCCTAGCTAAGCGGAGAAAGAAAATGACATAGGTAAAAATAGTAAACGGTACACATAAAAAGTAGAGCACTCCTACTATGCTATATAGCATTGGTGCTTTAATGTACAACTCAAAGTTGTACCATAACATTAAATGTATAAGTTTAGGTTGTACCATAAAGCAATTTATACCATTATGTTATGGTACAACTTTACAACTTGAAATTGTACCATTACATAAAAGTACAAGTTCAAGTTGTACCATAAAAGAATTTGTACAAAAAGTATAGGTACAATCTGAAGTTGTACCATAACGTAAATGTACAATTTTAAGTTGTACCATAAAGGCAAAAACCTATAGCACCAATACTATATAGCATTGTAAAATTTCTCTAAAAAGTATGGCCGGGGTTTGAAGTTCGAAGCACGTTTTGTACGGATCATTGTCAAAATCTTGGCAGCGAGTCAAAACAGTAAATAATATCAATATTTACTGTCCCAACTGAGAAAACGTGCGGATATTCAAAGCTGTGTGGAAGAACAAGCACCTACAGCTTGTAGGGATTGGCAACAAAATCCGAACCCACGGGTACCCACCCGACCCAACTCGGTCAACGCGAGTAAAATTCGTGTTGACGGGTTTTGGACTGAGTTTGGCTTTAAACTCGTTCACTATTCATCGAGTTGGGTTGGGTTTGGGTAAACCCGACCCATGGGTACCCGCCCACACTCATAATTAATTTTCTCGGCATATTTAATATTCTAAACAACTAATCTTATTTATGTTTGTGGAGACATGCCTAATTTTTTCTTTCTAGTTATGTAGTATGAAGTTGATGTTATCGAGTAGAGAGTGAAAAACTTAATTGAAAGGAAGAAGTTTTCAATTAATCATGTTATTTATGGATAATTTGTGATTTGCTTCAATTTCATTGAGTTTTCTAGATTGGTGTTGAACAATTTGTATAGTTAATTTGTGATTTGCTTGAATTTTCTAGAATGGTGTTTTATATATGGATAATTTGTATTGGGAGATTGATATTTGACTTTAATTTTGATAGAAATTTGTTATCGTGAATTTTTTACGACAGAAACCCGTGGGTACCCATGAACCCATGGATACCCAGCGGGTTGGGTTGGGTTTGAGTTTTTCAAACCCAGTGGGTTTTACCCCGGATTTTTTTCACGAATAAACCCATGGGTTTGAATTTGGGTTTGGCAAAACCCGATCCATTGCCATCCCTAGCAGCTTGCGTGCATTACCATTTTACAGTACTCCTTTCACCAATGATCACAAAAGTAAGTAAATAATTGAGCCCCAAAAGGGCCAAAAACCCATCGACAAAAAGGTTTCTTCTTGGCTTTTTTTCCTCCAATTAGTCTTAAGGCCTCTCTTCAATGGCGTCCATTTCCTTCCACAAACAAAACCCACCACCACCTCTCCTCCTCTACCTCAACCAGTACTTCTTCATCACCTTCTTGCTTGTTTGATTTCGTTTATTTGCTCCATGTGGACACCATTCTTAGTTTTATTGTGACTCAGATTTTACCTATTTGATCACTGGTGTTTGAAGTGTTTGATCAATGTTGCTTGGTATTTCTTAAGGTTAGGTTTGGAGATTGGGAGGATGATATATGTGGGGGTGCCTGGCTCCCTGGATGCCAATTAAGAAAGCTTGTCGATTTTTTTGGATCGGCTCTTCCTTTGTTGGCATCAGAGAGTCAAGCGCGTGAAATCTCTTTATAATCTCTATCGAAAACATTATAGCAGGGGTAGTTTTCGCCTTCTTTCGAGGTGAGTTTTGCGCTTCACTTAACCATCTCGAACACATACATCTCTTTTGTGTTTGTTTTCGTAATGAGTATTTTATTGTGTTAAAAGTTTTCTTCGTTCGTGGTCCAAGATCTTTCGTTAAGGATAATCTCAAAGGTGACTTTCATTATTAAAATTGAGCATATTGAATCTTGCATATTGTGTTTAACTTTAGTTTTGGGACAAAGTTTCGGGAAGTGGATTCTCTATAATCTGAATCTATTAGCGCAGGTGATCATATGCATCAAGGGTTTTTATCTACATAGCAATCGAAACCAAAAATTCAGAAGATGTTGAAATGATCTTACTCAAAGATTCTTTTACTTATTCATCTGATTTACATCCCTCAAAATCTCCAACTACTACATGTATCCAAAATCTCCGACCGCCGCCCGGTCAAGCCGACGGCAACCCTGTATGCTTCTCTCGCCACTACATGCACTAAATTTCAGAGATTGAAATTCGTACATTCTTTAGAACACTCTGTTTTTTCCACTTGCATTAGGAAAGACTCTGTTTTTTTTTACATGATGGCGCAAGAGTAAGGGTCATTATTGTAATAGTGCCCGCCGGCGGCGGGGTTCATCTGGCAGACGTAGTGAGGCGGGCCACCGGCGTACCCGTACGACCAAACGGCGGCCGGAGGCGGCGGCGGTTTGGAATCTTGATCCTCCGGCTTCTTGTCCTCCTTCTTCTTCTCTTCCACAGGGCCGAGGCTGACGAGTTCAGCGTGTCCCACTTTGTTCCGGAGCAGAGTGACGAGCGCCGCCGAGTCGATTCCGTCGCCGGTGACCACGATTTGGGTCTTCTCCGGTCCGTCCAAGGACGCCGAGTCGACGCCGTTGGCACCCACAACGATCTTCATCGCCTTGGATCGTGACTTGTCTTTGTTCATTGAAACCTTGATCACTAACTTTTGCTGTTTGGAACCCAAATTGAAAAAAAATTAGTCATGCAATGAATCAGTTGCAGGACACAAGTGGAAACTCGACTTCAAATATGAGATGGGTTTGGTGTTCTTACCTTCATGATTGAGATACGGATGAGAATCGAGCTAATCAAAGTGATTTTTTTTTTCTTTGGGAGGGAAGGGAAGCTTTGATTTTTCTGGGGATTGGTGTTTCTGGGAATTTATATGCATGCAAAAACAGGGGAGGTTGTTTGGTTGTGTGGAAAAATGGGGTCTGGACATTTTCCAAGCAGTAACAGAGAATCTCCAAGGAAATGATCGCTTGGAGCCCACAGCAGAGCAGAGGCTCACCACCGGGAATTTGATTGTTTGGTTATTAAACGGAAAAGGAGTTGTCGTCAGCAAGGTTGTCAAACCGGGTTAAGTCGTCCAGTCGGTTCGACAAGGGGTTTGAGGTTTAATGGTCGGATCGGGGTTCAACCGGATTAAGCCGATTTTAATAGAATAGGTGAATAATGGATATAGGAAGTCATTTTTGTCACAAATTTTTGACTTTTTGGCCCAAACAAACCCATTACATCAGCCCAACAAAACCCCTAAGCCCAAACAAACCCAACAAACATCCATCTCCCTAAATATCATAAGCAGCAGCCGCCTATACACACCCACAAAATAAGAATCTGATTCTCCTTCCCTATTCTTCCCTTTTCCTACTGCTCTGTACTTCTTCTTCCTCAATCCTCTGTGTTCTCTTCCTTCTTCCTCTAATTCAATCTCAAATCGCCGAGAAGGATCCAGTGTGTGACAGAGAAAGGGAGGGAGGGAGGGAGAGAGAGAGCGACCCAACACCTGCAAAATAGAAGGAGCCGTCGTCGGAGCTGGGAGCGAACGGCGGGTTCTCGGTGGTCGGCAGAGGTGTGGATCGAGCTGGCGGATGGAGGAGCCGATTTGGGAGGCTGTTCCAAAACCCTCCAAAATGTCGTCGTTTCATCACTAGCCGGTAGCCGGATAAGTCCGGTCAGACCCAGGGTTTGACCGATTTTGACCGGCTTTGACCGGTTGCCGGCTAGCTCAAAATATGGCTGGTGCAGGCCCCTTTTGTGCCCGGTTCCGACCCAACCCGGTCGAACCGGCCGGTTAGAGCCGAGTTTGACAACCATGGTCGTCAGTACCTGCTGACTCGTTTTGTTCCCTATTAGAAGAGATTGTCTATGTTTGGTGGGTTGTGGTTCAAAAATTGAAGTTTGGCTAAGTATCTTTATAAGTCTGGTTTTTGAAAAAGTCAAAAAAATATGATTATAACATAAAAGTAGAAGTTTCGTGAAGAGCTATTTTGAAAATATAAGATAATCCTTACTTTTTTTAATAAAACATAATTTTATTTTATTTTTATCGGATTAAAATTAAAATAATATTTTATATAAAAGAAACCTAACATGGTCAATTGTGACCTTTTTTTACTCACATTTTATATTAGAAATCTTTTTAGTCGTTTTACATGACCTCTAATATTAAAAAAAAATACTCCTAATAATTTATAAGTTAAATACTCAACTATTTTTTTAGAGAAAAAAGATATTTGTCTAAGGAAAATGGCTGTAAAAGATCGCGTCGGCGATCTGGTCGCACACGGGAATTAAATCCCCATCCTAGAGCAGCTAGTACATTTATCATTTTTTGGGTTGGTTATTTGGTCCGGGTTTTTTGGTTTTATCCGAAACCGGACTGTATAACCCGGACCGAGACCGGACCATGACCGGATAGTAAACAATTCAATCCAATCTTTGGGCTTAGATTTTAGGTAAAAAACCGCTTGGAACCGGATCGAAAACTGAATAAAGACCGGATAAGAGAGCTCAACACCCAAAACTTACGGGTAATTTGCATAAACGGTCACAAACATTTGCACTTAGTACAAAACTTAACTGACTCCTCACCCTTTCAGGACTTAGGCCACTCAAATCCCCACAAACTCAATATAAAATCAAGACCGAATTGGGACCGGACTGTATCCAATCCAATCTTTGGTCCTTCTATTTTCAAAAAAACTGGACTGGACCAGATCAATTTGGGTCAATTTAATCAGACCGGACCATATAGCAACCCCTAATCATTTTCCCCAAACTTCTACCTCTTTATTGTGCATTGTATCACTCCATCAAAATTTTCTCTCCTAAGCCTTGGCCTACCACTCAAGGAAACTGGCATGCATTAGGAGGAAAAATCAATTATTCTTCATCTTACATTTCTCAACAATAGAGGCCAGCAAGTTTAACCCAACTTTTTGGAAGAGGTTGAGGACCATTTTCTTTTGGAATCTCTTTTGCTATGGCTTGAATGTGTATTCTTTTGATGGATGATTCTTGATTTATTCCTTCAATTTCTTGGCTATCGATTGAATGTGTATTCTTTTGATGGATGATTCTTGATTTATTCCTTCAATTTCTTGGCTATCGATTGTTTGTTAGGATTGGAGTCTGGGATGACAATTTCAGCATGACCCATTTTACTCGACCTGTTTAGGGGCGGTTTCGACCTTCCCCATAAGCGGGACGGGGCAGGAAATGGTACTCCTATCGACCCTGTCTGCCCCGATCCGCCCCATTCTCGCCTCATTCTTTCCTAAATTACATGTAATCTTAGTCAAATTAGTTAGGACTTTCCTTTTATCACCTCATATTTTAGCTATAATAAAGTTGTGAATAAGTGAAAACCTGAATTTCTCCAATAACTACATTTATCATATTATTTTTTGTTTCTTGGTATTTTAATGAAAATAACGTTATTTATAATATTTTCATATAAATTACATACCTATTGGGTCGACCTGCCCCGACTCTCACTCCATGATAAATTATCTACCTACCACGGGCGGATATGGATATCAAGATACCCGCCATGAACCTGTCCCATTGTCATTCCAATTGGAGTAATCTAAATTATTGAATGAGGTAGTTATAGCTTCAAGCCATCATGAATTGCACGCTCTATTTTAATGCCCACAAAGTGGTTGAACAATTGCTTAAGTGTAATGATAATTTGCATTACTTACCGTTTAGTATCATTTTGTTGCTGTTGTTGTTGTGGTTGCAATTGCTTAAGTGTAAACAGATGTACAACCACAACAGGAAAAAAACAGAAAACACAAACCTGTTTAGTTGATAAATCTGAAAAATCAAGAAAGCTGACAACAAGAAACAAAAACGCGTTTAGTTACTACTATAAGAACTAAAAACCAGAAAAAGAGATATGTCCGCAATATTAAGCAAAGTCTCACAACAGTCAACATAGCTAACATCATTCATGTTCCTACAAAAAAAAAAAAACTATAAACATGATTATCACTCCATAACTGATTAGCAATGGCATCACGCTTCTCGGTCATCTCACGTGTTGCTGCATGGCTGACGTTGAACTCAGTGAGTGGTAGTTCAACCCCAGAAGTCGAACCTTCTTCATCTTCATAATTTTCATATTCATGAAATAGTTTATCATCTTCGGCATGAATCTTGATGAAATTATGTAAGGCGCAACAAGCAATAACAATACTTGTTTGCTTTCTCAAGCTATACGACCGCATGAACTTTAGAATCGGAAACCTTGCCTTTTATTTTCATTATGAAGTTACACGATTTCCCTTTTTAACTTCTTCCACCAAAAGATCAATGAACATAGATTCAGCTTTATCACCCCATATTTTGCTATCATCCCTCTCCCCATTATCATATTTCTGAATCTCCACACAATCAACATCACCATTTTCAACAATTTTCTCCATAACTGAGGTAAACCACAAAACAAAGAACATAGCAATCAATCCAAATTCACAAAGAACATAGCAATCAATCCAAATTCACAAATAACTAATCTAGCAATCACTACATACATACCATAAATCAAGAACATATTCAGAAGCAACAATATTAACATAATACATTTAAGAACTGGTATGTTTTACCTGCTGCGGGGAGATGGACGGCGGCCGACGGACTGGCGGCGGAGGCAGGGCGGCAGCGACGGTTGCGCGGGCAGCAGAGGGCGGAGGCGAGGCGGCTGGGCGGGCGGAGGCGAGGCGGCCGGCTGCACGGGCTGCGGTGAGGCGCCGCTGGCCGGAGGCGGAGGGTCGCGCGACCTGCGAGAAGAAGAGGGTTGGGGGCGGCAGTCTGATGGGTCTCGAGAAGAAGATGGAAAATGGTAAAGGGCGGCTGAAGTAGGGTTTTTGGGAGGGGGGGGGGGGGGCGGATGTGTTTAAAAATTTTCTTTTTACTTCTGTGGGGATTCGAAAATTGGTCTGTTTTAATGAAATCAAGCGCCCAACCAATAGGAATCCCGTGTGCAACATGTTTAAGAATCAGATCCAAAGCTATAAATTGTTGTTTCTCATATTTGGGCCTTGTTGTGCAACTCTGATTCACAACAAAAAATAAAAACCCAACTAAACACGATTTTTTTCTTGGTTTTCCAAATTTCGTAAAACACAACAGGAAACAAAAACAAGCAACAATACTAAACGGGCACCTTTGAATTCTATTTTGGGTTAATAGCATTTTCTACTTCTTTACTATCGCAAATTAACAAACATACCCTTCTACTAATTTTTTGCACAAACGTATCCTTCTACTATTAAAACATAACAAACATAATCTTCTGTCTAATTTTCTGTTAAACGACTGTTAAGTGGGCTGGGAAATGACTAAATTGCCCCTCATGCTAATTTAATTTCAATTATTAATAATCCCAATATAATTAAAATTAAAACAGAACCCTTAAACATATCCCTCCACCCAACTCGAAACCATCCATCTTCCCAAAGCCCCCGCCTCTCCTGAAATTCAGTCTCCCCTGAAGTCTCAATATCCGGCGGGGGCTCCCGTTTTCTCCTCACCGGCGGCTGGAGCAGGAAGGACTGCTCGGCGATCCGCGGTTGATCCATCTTCTCCGTACGAACACACAGCTCACAGCTGGAGGGTGGCGTGCGATTCTTCCTTGCCGGCGACTGAAGCAGCCTGCACTCCCTCTGCCGAGAAGCAATTTCCCCAATCAGCACTCGCCTTTGCTAATAATCCTCGGTGCATTAGAATTGTTGAGGTAGTATTTGTTTAAACCATACCAAGTATAA